AATAATTTAACATGTAAGAAAAATTTTCGTAAAAATATTTCTGCAGAAATATATTTAGAATAAATATAAATACATTTTACAAAAATATTTATATAGTTACATGCTTATACTTATATTCAATGTAGACAGAAAAGTTTTAATATATCATAAAAAGATATTTATATAAAATGCCTGTTTTCTCGAAGTATATATTTGTCAGAACTTTACGATCACAATTGAATTCATAAATATGCACATAAATTATAAATAGTAAATGATGCCATATATATATATAACATTTTATAATGAAATAAACGTAAAGTTAATAAATATTTAACACACAGAATGTACAAATAAATATATAAAATATTAATATATATAAAAAGTCTATAAATTTATAATATATATAAAAAATCTAAATCTATAATATAATATAATAAATATAAATCTGTAAAAACATTATTTAGTAAATAGATAAATGTTACAATATATGTGCAAAATTTTTCTTTTATGTAAAGTAGCATGTTAAAATATATTTGTGATTACGATTAAAAGATATAACAAATAACATTTCAATGGATAAAATTTTTGTAAAAAATTTGTACTATTTTAATAAACAAGATTTTACAGGAGTATAAATTACAAATATATAATATATTCTTACATATTATTAAAAATGAATGACAGCGATTATTGTGCTTTGTGTACTTCTACGAGAAATTAAAATATATAAGACAAATAAAAATTATTTATTAATTTATAAAAATAAAAAGATATTAGCACATTATCAAACATGCAATTAATACAATTTTCTTCTGCGCACAAGAAATTGACTCGACATTTCTCAGAAATATGAAATCTTTAAGAAATATTGACGCTTTCCGATTATGTCGTCTTCATATTTATACAGGAGCATTGATAATAACAGTTATATCATTTTTTTCTATTTTTTTTATATGTTGTTTATTGCTTGTACTTACTGTTAATTGATTTCCATAAAACGTTATGAAAGAATTCACAATGTGCCAACTATTGAGCGGTGAAATCATGATGCCAATTTCTTGGTTTTCATTCTGATTGATCATAGTTTGATTGACAGATCTGATTATAATAATATATACCAATTTTTACATTGTAATAATAAAACTAAGAAGTTAGAATTTTACAAAATAAACTGGTTCTAATATGGTTTAAGAGACAGGCTATAAAAATTTTGTTATTTTTTTTGTTTAAAGCTATATTTGAGTGAAATACTTTATATAATATATAAAAAAATGTTTTTAATAACAGACATTATTTTATATGTATTTTATTTTTTATGATTTATATTAATTGTAAAGTTTAAAAGATGTCTTTCTATGCAATTTTTATCAACAAATATGTATAACAATAAAGAAAACTAACCTGTTACTAGTAGAATAATTTGCAAAAGTACTGAATATATCTAACATCGATTGTTTTATTGGTTTGTTGAAAATCTTTATTTGGACTCTATTATTTGTTGAGTTCCTTAAGTTACCAATACGAATAATTAGTGAATGATTTAAATTATCTTGTGCATTACTTTCATAGGATAAAGCGATATTATTTGGAATAATCCTTTCGTTTGACTCATCGTGTGTAAGAAATCTGTAATGTACTATGTATCGTTACTATTCATACATATTCAAAGATTCTAGTAAAAAATAAAAATATATAAGGTAAACGGTACAAAAAACACATTGAATAAATTCACAATTTTATTATAATCCTAAATAACAAGTATTCAAATAATGCAGACAAATTTAATTACATCTGATTAAGAATTGCAATATCTGATCCAATTCACAATTAATATTATATGGAAAAAATCAATTAATATTTAAAACTAAAAACAATAAATAAAAGATTTTTAGTTGTCAGTCGTTGATTCATTATTTAAAGTATTATTTGAATTCACGAGATAATAAGTTGCATGAATTTAACGCGATTCATTACCATCTTTAAATTATTTATCATAATATAATTAATGAAGGCAAAAATAAACATGTAGATACAAAGTGATAATTTTCTCGCTCTATTGTGTTAATTTAACATTACAATGTGTTAATTATTTAAAAGTATTAACATTATGATTTAAAGTTATTTTTGATAATATAATTTAAGTAATACTTTACCTAGCACTATTCAAAATAATTGAATTACAGCCTTTTTCCGTCTTCGATTGCATCGAAAATAATTTTTTATTTCGTAGTGGTTGTACTGAACCGGTAGATACATTTTGTTTTGACTGCAGCTTGTTTTGACTGCATTCTGTTTTGAAATGAAAAATGACTTGCTCTTTTGACGTTAATGTCTCATTATTTAGATTAGCCGAATTTTTAACAAAACCTTGTTTTCCATTATGTATATTTGGCGAATGTGGATTAATTATTTTAATCTCAAAAGCTATATTGTCACCAGGCTCTATAAATAAGATATATTATACTCACTTGGTTGATATAATATTACAATTGTTTTTTGTCTATATAACATATTATTTGGAAAATATTTTACGCTTGTAAATGGTGATTTATAAAGCGAATTTTGATTAAGTAAATACATTTTAACTTACTGTCTATTTCCTTGTTCTCCTTGCGATTACGCAGTATAACAACACAATAAAATAATGCAGCAACTGCAGTTGTACCACAAACTATCGTTTTATTGAACCACTGAATTGCCATTTTGCTACTACTATCTATAAATAGCAATTTTACTTTTCCGGCAACCTGATGATCGCGAGAATGCCTCTCGAAGGACAATAATGATAGACAACATATCATTAAGTAAGCCAGTAAGCCAAACATTTGAAGGCAGGACACATTATTCTGATTATGTCTACTATATAAGATTTGTATACAAATATATATAGATATAACTGAGAGAAGCCGTTATTTTTCTAATATATTAGATATTGTCATAAATATAATACAATATGTGATAAACTATAAATATATAAATATAATAAGACTTATATATAAACTATTGCGAAAATTTTATATAAGAGAGAGAAAGAGAGAGAGAGAGAGAGAGAGAGAGAGAGAGGATTTAAATATAATAGAAAGGATTTAAATATAACAGAAATTATGCTATACATTGTTTATTAGCAAAAGAATAAATTTTTAACTTTTTAGATAGATTAATTTTTCTATGGATTAATTTTCTTTTATTATTTAAAATGTATCGAAAAATAGTTAAATATGTTTCTATACACATACACACACAGATTTCTTTATTAAGAATTAAAACTCTGATTCTTAAAAACTGCTTTTATTTATAAAATAAAACAATAAAAAAGTCAAAATCAATTTTACATCACAGATGCGATTATACAATATAATTTTGATTAATAATTAAAGCTTTTAGAGCTCACAACAAAAACTTAAATAAGAAAGTCAACAAAAAAAAAATTTTTAACTGTATATTAATTTTCTGATAATATACAAAAATATTATTACTTTTAAGAGTATTTAGTCTCAAAGTAAGTCTATAATACAGTTATGAAAATAAAGAAACAGTTGCAACGACAAGCAAGTTTAGACATACAATAAATGTACTAAAAATGTATATAGATTTCAAAATTAATAAGATAAAGATATATATGAATTAGAAATTATGATAAAATTTATGTCTTTTATTTCATCTATTATTTAAATGATTTCAAGCATACTTAACGTTAAAAATGCATAAAAATGATTGTTCTTAAGATACTACATACTTATGATTATATTTATATACACGTATACTAGGCTTTATAATATTTTTAAATATAATAACAAAAAAGTGAATAAATTATTTTTTCCCTTCTCAAAAGAACGCTGACTAAATCGTTCGCTTGATTAAGTTAATCTTGATATTTATAGCGCGTTATAAACGTTAAGTACATTTTTGGACAATCATCTCAAACAACGGATATTTGTGTATGCTATTTTCATCATTGACATTTATTTTTAATTCGTCGCAATGCTGCTGTAAGATACTTACGTAATTTGTAAAATAATGAATTTTTTGATTGGATTTTTGTAGATGTTAATGGATAAATAATATTTTTTCCTAATTCCTGGTAGATATTTTTTGGCAACTCCATAAAATCAGTTTCATTATTTTTAATAATAATTTTGTCGCTAATAAGAAAAATGTTGGAGCATTTAGTCTATAATTTATAATATAGTATTAAAATTAATAAAAATATTCTAATTAAATTGTAACGTTCTTAAGATTTGTTAAAAATTATTTTTACATTAAGTTATGTGTATTAATTAATTTAATATTATTTAAATGGCATATTAGATAGCATATTAAAATTGTTAGTCACAACAAGTCAAAAAAAGTTCAATAAATTTAAATGATAATCTCACCTATATTGTGAATTTCTAGATTCCGAAGAATTCATCACAAGGAATCTTAATTGCAATATTTTTGTCAGTTCTGGGATCTGTGGTACTGATTTTGACGAATCAATATCGATATCAGAAGACGGTATTTGTTCCTGCAATTCATTGCTGGTATGCAAAACATCATTAGAATGTCTTACTTCTCGGAATCTAGCTTCTTTTTCAGACGACAACCGATGACATTGATCGCAATAATGTCTATCATTATAATCTTTTGACCTATTATTAACAGATGTTTAAAGTCTCTGTTAAATATCTCTATATACTATTTTTATAAATTTTAATAAATTTTAAATATAAAAACATAAAAACACTTATACTTATGCATAAGTAATCTAATCAATAAATTTTGCACAATATTTTTAAGTAACTATTAAGTTGTTACATGATATATAACCTTATATAATCGTCATTGGAAAATGTTCTAAAATTATTCGTAAAAATAGTTTCCTCTGAACTATTCTTTGAATTATTACATTTTTCCATAGATTTTAGCTTTACGTGCCTAACCGCACGTGGCGGTTTTATTGGTGGATTCCTTTTTACAACTACTTCAACAGAATCCGATTTTGTATTCTGTTTATTGCTTTTTTGACTACTATTTTCATTTTCTAAATAATAAAGAAATATAAAAAATTATCTACTAATTATCTTTGTCTTTTAATAAAATATAAACTTATATATTTTCGTCCAATTGTAAGCAGTCAATAGCAATCGAGAGACTCGTTATCTCTATTTGTTATGAATATATTAGGTAATACTTTTTAATTTACCTTTGTACATTGTTTCACTAATTTTAACAATTTCCTTTTTTACTTTTTCGGCTATTTTACACTTTTGTAATAATGTATAACATATTAATACTTTTACGAAAACAAGTGCACTTGCAATCGCTACAATTTCCATCTTTTATTAATATCCGAACTTAACAGATGAGACTAAATAACTTGAATCATACTTTTTGAAGCAGTTCACAATATTCGACTGGATTGTTGACTGTATCAAAAGCAGACATACGAACAGTGAACTCCAACAAAAGATCTGTTTGTAAATATGAGATAGGGATCATTCAGGTAACAAATCCATAAAGAAAAAAAAGCTAAAAATTAATCTTGTTGAATATGAATTGTGGCCTGTGTGTGTTTATAGATCAACTAAATAAAATAATTTTATTTTCTATATTCTATATCAATATCCGTTTTTATACTCCATATTGCATATATGTAGTATAATGAAATATGTAATCTATTAATTTAATTAGTCTTACTCATTTATCTGTTAAATATAAATTACAGACATTTACAGACAAAAATGCATTATATCTCTAAAAAATGGCAATAATAAGAATATTAGATATAACATTGATAATAATAAATATGAGAATTTTATGCATACATATTTTTTGATTTTTTGAGATAAAAAGCAAACTTCCAGACAACTGTCGTCGGTTTTGATATATATTAAATCGATATATTATATCTATATATTTCCTTAAAGACATATTTTGTTTTAATCTAATCATTGTGAGAAAACAAAGAATAGGCATAAATGAATATTTAATAATGTTAAATAGTGTCTATTAGAGCGAACAGCAAATTGCACAAAAAACAATTGCGCAATCACATCGCAATATACAGTTTGCAAAATAAAAAATAAATAGCTGTGCAATATAAAAAAATGCTTCTAGTTGAATTTCTAGATAGAAACTCGAATGTGAATTTAAATGTTTTGAAGAAATCCCTACGGGACTTAAAGTCTAAACATTTTTGGTGTACAAATACGAAGTAAGATTTCAATAGATGAACGTAATGTCCAATCAATAATTCTCTGTATCGCATCTATGTTTTTTCACAAAACATATATGCAACAAAGTGCAATTGCGCAATGTAAGAAGAACATGAGATTTATTTCTGTAATTTCAAACCGGTGTTTACATTATTGACAAGCAAAGATAATGCAAGTGATTTCTAATCAAATTTTTACGTGCGCATATTTTTATATACGCATTATCTTATAGATTTTAATTAACAATTTTATCCTAAAATCTGCAAAAGTTAGAAATATATGTAATGCTATTCTGAATAAGAATTCAACGTATGCGCAACAATGTTAAATTTTTGCGATGCAATATGATGCATATATGAAGACTAATCAGGCTGTTGTCATCAATATCGCTAGTAGGATTGTTATATCAGTGTTTGAGAACACGCCTATCAAATTACCGTAGGAATTAATTATTGCGTGCAACTGCAATTATTTTTTTATATTGATCGCGGAGAAAACCTTGATGTTTCTTCAAGAGATTAATGATTTCTTAATCACTGCCGACAAATTTGCTTCACGTTTCTAATTAGTTAGCGTGAAATTCAGTAACATTTTTATTATACACGCAATTATATATATATATGGATATAGATATAAATATTAAAGGTTAGTCTATTTAATTCAATTTATTTATTTTTGTCATTTAATCCATACAGAATGCGTTTAAAATTATTTATTAGTCATTATATTGATCAGCCCAATTTGATATTTCTTGAAAAAAAAAAATTAAATGCTCCTTACTTTATCACGCATAAACAGTTGGATTAGTATATGTATTATACTTAATCACAAATATCAGCAAAAGTTAGAAATATATGTAATGCTATTCTGAATAAGAATTCAACGTATGCGCAACAATGTTAAATTTTTGCGATGCAATATGATGCATATATGAAGACTAATCAGGCTGTTGTCATCAATATCGCTAGTAGGATTGTTATATCAGTGTTTGAGAACACGCCTATCAAATTACCGTAGGAATTAATTATTGCGTGCAACTGCAATTATTTTTTTATATTGATCGCGGAGAAAACCTTGATGTTTCTTCAAGAGATTAATGATTTCTTAATCACTGCCGACAAATTTGCTTCACGTTTCTAATTAGTTAGCGTGAAATTCAGTAACATTTTTATTATACACGCAATTATATATATATATGGATATAGATATAAATATTAAAGGTTAGTCTATTTAATTCAATTTATTTATTTTTGTCATTTAATCCATACAGAATGCGTTTAAAATTATTTATTAGTCATTATATTGATCAGCCCAATTTGCTATTTCTTGAAAAAAAATAAATTAAGTGCTCCTTACTTTATCACGCATAAACAGTTGGATTAGTATATGTATTATACTTAATCACAAATATCATAAACTTTGTCTTTCTAGAGCATAATACAAAATTAATTTATTTTTCGTTTTCTGATCTTAGAAATTTAAGTACTTTAAATCTTGTGCATAACTTTCACAGGATAAAACGATATTATTTGGAATAATCCTTTCGTTTGACTCATCGTGTGTAAGAAATCTGTAATGTACTATGTATCGTTACTGTTTATGCAGATTCAAAGATTCTAGCAAAAAATAAAAATATATAAGATAAACAATACAAAAAACACATTAAATAAATTCACAATTTTAATATAATCCTAAATAACAAGTATTCAAATAATGCAGACAAATTTAATTACTTTGATTAAGAATTGCTATATCTGATCCAATTCACAATTAATATTATATGGAAAAAATCAATTAATATTTAAAATAAAAAACAATAAATAAAAGATTTTTAGTTGTTGTCAGTTGTTGATTCATTACTTAATTATTTGAAATCACGAGATAATAGATTGCATGAATTTAACGCGATTCATTACCATCTTTAAATTATTTATCATAATATAATTAATGAAGGCAAAAATAAACATGTAAATACGAAGTGATAATTTTCTCGCTCTATTAACATTATGACCTAAAATTATTTATGATGATAAATAATACAGAGAGCAGACACACAGCTCTCTGCGCCACGATAGCACATTATATTATAACTGGTCGATAAATTTTTATATTATTCTATATTATATTATTTAATATTTTTATATATTATGTGCGATTGTGGCGCAGAGAGCTGTGCGTCGGCCCTTGGTGCTTGAAGGGCTCTAATTCAAATCCAACCAGAGCCAGAAAACATCGAATGTATTATTTCGATAATTCGCGATCGCCACTTCTCGGAAGGCAATGGCAAATCACTGAAAGTATCTTGCCATGAAAGCCTCTCTAATCTATACCGTTCGGAACCGGCGTTAAACTGTAAGTCCCATATGTCTGCGGTAGACGCACACCGTAGACATATGTTGAGAGGTCACCACATCTCTGATAAGAGATTACGGACTGAGGAATATATTATTTATAGATATTTAAAAAATATAATAGTAAAAATGGCAAGCGCAAGTGAAAGATTGAATATGGAAGCAAATATACATAAGACGAACTTTACAAGAAAAGTTTAATAATTATGAAAGGCAATTACCTATTCCGGGAGAACCTAATACAATAGGCACTATGACGGAAAATAATGACGAAAATAACAGAAAATAATTTTAATAAAGATTAATAATTTTTATAATTTCGCAGATAAGATGTAAACAAAGGAGGAGAACGAAAAATATGGAAATAAAAGGGCAATATTAGGACAACAAAACGGCAATAACGATAATTATAAGATTGTATGTATATTTTTTTGATATTATTTTAACAACGAGATAATATCTCATGTAATTATAATTTTAATTATAATTATTATTATTTTATGAAAATTATCAAATATAATCTTCTGATACGTACACACGTTTTCCTTTCTAATTTTGATTACAGTTATTATTTTCTTTTTTTTTATAAAGAAAATGCATATTCTTACATAAAATGCATATTTATACATACTTACTTAGTAATGTCTTGAAAAAGATTAACGAGAACCTTCAGAAAATGTCATAAGTTAAATATCTTCTTTATATATGAAAAAGAAGATGTTGTATTATAATAATGATACATTTACAACTTAATAACCCGTTAGATTATTTAGTTTTATATTCACTCGACATTCTCCATTGCAATAATTAATAGAAATTGTAATATAAAAAATTGTAAGATAATGCGATATTAAAATACCACATGAACAGTTAAATAAGAATTTACATATCATGAAAAATATCTACATATAAAATAAAAAAATTTACAACGTTTAATTTACAAAACCGCTGTCAAGTTTTGCATATCTCATTAGATAATTGTAAGAGATTAGCTGTTTATGTTACATTATTCATTCATCCAACGAAATCTCTAGCGATTAGATCTCTTCGCGGAACAATTACGGCACATGTATAATAATTACTCAAGTAATAATCATGTTTAGCTGATATCTTAAAGGTCCTCCTCGTTGATAGACATAATATCGTACTTCATAGTTCAAATTTTTGCATATTATTAACATATATACATTAATAGGAACAATGTCATTTCAATAAGTGATTTATGTAGGATGTCTCTTAACAATCTTAATAAAATTCGAAACTTGAGTGTCGCAAGCCCCGCGATGCGATTTAATCTTAAATATCGAGCGAATCATCCGTTCTTTAATAAAACAACATAATTGATTGTACTGTCTCTAGTGTATTTTCTGTGAGTATGAACCATGCTGAATGACTGCTTTTATATCTATTTAACAATCATGTATGCGCCATATGTATGACCTTAATCTCTCTGTAATGTATATCGTTATTATTAGCTCTGTGTACTGCACATATCTATGGGAAAGAATTTATATATCTCAATTTCTTATGATAAACAGCTGATAGCTTATTTACTTATTAATTGGATCAAGAATCAAGGATCGCCGTATTTAAATCATGCAAGTAGGCGTTCGCAATTCTCTGCATGATCTAAATCGGCATCCTTGCATCTTGATAGGCGTACACTTTAAATCATAATCATCTATTAATAGAAAATAGGTGTCCAATATAATCATCGCGTGCACCAGCTTTAAGAGTGTATTTCATGATATCTAATTCTTGATGGAGATAATTTATTCTATATATATATATATATATCATATCTAACTTAGAAATGTAACTTAAGAATAACTTAAGAATCGTATATTATAATAAACTTTTATTCGAAGAAAATTTAAAATTATATAACAAAAGTTTTATTTGCAAATCAATTTTTATCAAGCCAAATACATAAAAATCATCAATTATTCGATTGATAAATCTCTTATGTCTTTACTTAACAAATAATAAAAACAATAATATGTGTTAATTATTTCGAATATTCATGTCACTTTCGTTAGAATTAATATTAAATTTACAGCATTATGTTAATTAAATAGATTTCGTTGTAAATCATCCGTGTAGCTAAACCTGTTC